AGTGCAGCAGCCTCGGGGAACTAGGTGTGTTTTCTGGAGTAACTCCTGCTCGTCTTCCCTGCCCCATCCTGCTTTCTGGAAGACACAGACCAAGGCAGACAACAATGTCTGATCTGCACTCACAGACACTAGCTGTGTATTCAAACCAGCTGTGAAGCGGGGAGAACTCACTCGTAAGAGCAGAAGCTGCGTCTCAAGAGCACGTTGGAAAGCAGTGACGAGTGGGGGGGGGGGGGGGGGGGGCTGTATGAATCTGGGTTACAAGCAGCCGGTGAGAAGAAAGGAGGGAAGAAAAGTGGGGACCTGGAGAGGAGCATGGATGGACTCCTGGACCCAAGGAGTGCTGTGGGACAATGGTCTGGACCCTGTCACTTGTATTTTAAATAAATGCTGACTGGCCACTAGCCAGGCAGGAAGTATGGGCGGGGTGACCAGGCAGGAAGTATCGGTGAGGCAAGGAGAATTCTGGGAAGAGAGAAATTTGAGTCTGCAGTCATCACCCAGACACAGAGCAAGCTGAATGTGACTGCCTCGCTGAAAAAGGTACCAAGCCACATGGCTAACACAGACAAGAACTATGAACTAATATAAGTTATAGGAGTTAATAAAAAGCCTGAGCTAATAGACCAACCAGTTTATGATTAATGTAGACCACTGTGTGTTTATTTGGGACTAAATGGCTGTGGGACCTGATAGGACAGAAAACTCTGCCAATAAAGGAAGAAGATAGGGGCTTCAACTGGTCTGGGTTAAAGATCCTGCCCCCCTCCGTGTATGTGTGTGTGTGTTTGTTTGTGTGTGTGTGTGTGTGTGTGTGTGTGTGTGTGTGTGCAGCTGTGTGCCGGTTACTCTCTGTCAACTTGATACAAACTAATCAGGGAAGAAGAGAATTCAATCAATAATGCATTTTTCAGATCAGACTGGGGACAAATCTGTGGGACGTTTTCTTTATTAAAGATTTATGTAAGAATGTCCAGCCCACTATGGACAGGGCCACCACTGGGCTGGTCATCCTAGGTTGTGAAAAAAAGAAAACTGAGCAGGCCATGGGGATGGAGCCAGGAATCGGTATCCTCCTAGGTTTCTGCTTCTTTTCACTCTCTAGCTCCCTCTTGAGTTCCTGCTCTGACTTCACTCAATGACAGTCCCAGGCCATGTTAACCAATAAACCTGTTCCTTCTCATGTTGCTTTTGGTCATGGTATTTATCACTGCATCACTAGATAGCAAACTAAGACAATCTGCAAGTGCATATGTGCTCGTGCAAGTATGTGTGTGGGTGCGCACGCATGTGTGTGCATGTACATGTGGGGGGGTCAGAGGTCAACCTCTGGTGTCATCCCTTTGTTGCCAATCACCTTGGCTTTTTGTGGTTTTTTTTTTGTTTTGTTTTGTTTTGAGACAAGGTCTCTTGTAACTGGACATTTCTCTCCTGCCCTCCCATTCCTGAATAGCCGCTCTGAGGCTTAATATTAATTACAAATTGTTTGGCCTATTAGCTCAGTCTTATTACTAACTAGCTCTTACAACTTAAATTAACCCATTTCTATTATTCTATATTTTACCATGAGGCTTGTAGCTTGCTGCCTCACATTTTGCTTCTCTGATGGTTGCTGGTGTCTCCCAGACTCTGCCTTCTTTTCCCATTTATCTTTGTTTGGATTTCCCACCTGACTCTATTCTGATTGGCTATTGGTCAAATCATCTTCTTTATTAACCAATGATAATAAAACATATTCAGAGCATACATAAGGGCATCCCACATCAGTCCACCCTGCTCTCTCGGTTATCCATAGTTCCACTCTGTGGATGGAACCTGCCTTAAGGATAGGAGGTAAGGCTCCTCAGAGGAGGAAGAGCACTAGAGATGGGGCCTCAACCATCTGGGAGGGTTACAGACAAGATCTATTTCAGTATCCTGTAGCAGCTGAGAAATAGGAAAGTCAAAGAGCTTATTTGGCTTGCTCCAAGCCTTTCAGCAAGTCATGTGCTCACGCTTCATAATTCAGGATTCAATGGGGCCTACAGTTAACACATTTTACAAGGTCACTAGAGGATCAAGGTCCGTAGGCTGGCATGAACTGGTCTAAACTGTTGGTGAAGAATGAAAGAAGTTGTGGGGAGCGGGAATCCCCAAATGAAGTAGTTGCAGGAACTCACCTATCCATCTACCCAACATCTATTCATGTGTTCATTTGTGTATCCATCCATCCATTTGTTCATCTATACATTCATCCCTCTGTCAATTCACCTGTGTAACTATCCATCATCCATCCATCCATCCATCCATCCATCCATCCATCCATCCACCCATGCATCCACCCACCTATCCATCCATCCATCCATCCATCCATCCATCCATCCATCCATCCATCCATGCATCCACCCATCCATCCATCCATCC